TCCGCCTCGCTTAGGCATTGGCCGGCTGGAAGCCACCTCGGCCCAGCTGTCCCCGATGCCGCTGCCGCCAGCTTCCCGTCTCCATGACAATAGCGCGACCGAGGCCCCGCCTCGCCCCGCCCCTTTGGCGCCGAGACTAGGAGGAAAGCGGGCTTACGTCATCAGGGGGCGGAGCCCAGAGAGGCCAGGGCCCAATCATAGGTGAAGGAGGTGTCAGGCACTGGGCTGGGCGGACCCAGGGGTTCTCGGAGAATGTAGTCTGAACCGGTCAGTCCTCTTGGTGGGCGGTGTCTGGGGGAGGGGAGCGGACGAAGGGGAGGAGCCAAGGCGCGTGCACGAGGGCGCACTGCCGAGCGGGTGCCGGTGCGGCGGGTGGGTTAGTGTGAGCTCGCGAAATAAAGTACATCTCGCCCGTCAAAGTCAATGCGAGAAACTTTGTATATAGTTATGCTTGGGCTTGCTTGTGGCCCCATTATGCGAAGTTTCCGAAATCCCGAGCTTCCGCGGCGTGCCCAAACCTGTGCCATCCTCTGTCCTGGTTCACCAGCGCCCCTGTCTGTCCCAGAGTTCGAGTGCTTCCGTGGCTTGTGGCGGCGGGAGGTGGAGAGGAGAGGAGAGGGTCTGTTTTGTATTCTAACTGTGTGGCCGTCGTGGGCAAGGGCTCTGCCTCTGACTCAGTTGTGTGTGTTTGCCTCGCCAGCGCCTCGCTGAACAAACAGTGGTTGGGTTGGGCACTGCTCTGCCCAGTGTTTGCAGTGGAGCGTGGGCGGGTGCGAGAGTGCGTGCGAAGGGGAAGGCGACTTAGTTGAACAAAAGGGAAGGGGACCTGCTCCCTCCACCACCACCGACTTGGCGGTGCGAGCTGCGTGCGATTGGAAAGCCGGGAGAAAGAGGCGGAGAGGCGTGGGAGTGGAGCTGGGGACGGTCCCGAGACCTCCTCGGGTGTAGCTGATTCTCTGGCAGTTCTTGCCCACCACCCATACTCTAGAAAAAGGCTACCCCGGTAATTCCAGGAACCAGTGTCTTTTCCCTCGCCGTCCGGCGGCGTGTCGGTAGAAGGAAGGCTAGCCGGAGACGTGCAGACGTCTGAGGCCTGTCTCTCGCCCACCTGCTGCTGCCGGCGCAGAGGGGCAGTCATCCCGGACTTCCTGCGCCCTGGGCGCGGGCCATCCATCGGCTCTCCCAGAGACTTTTATTCCGGATCTCCAGCTGGCTCTCGGCCTCCCTGGCTTGGGGAAGACGCCAGAGAGCGGTGGACAACGAACGACCTCGGAGCCCAGCCTGCCGGAGAACAAGAAATCCGCTAAGTCCGCAATCTACTGTGGCTAGGAGAGCGCAGAGCGTTCGCCGGCGCACAGTCCGCGGCCTTGTTCCCTTTGTGCTTCGGAGCGGCGGGACCCGCTGCAGGGCCGGCCGTGCGGCGGGACTGCCACTCCGCCCCAAGTTAGCAGAAGAGGAAAGTTGGAAGAGATCGGCGCTCCTGGGATGTGATTGTCATCCTGGGGCCGGCGCTCGAGAGTCTGAGAGAAAGCGAGAGAGAGGGAGAGACCGGGGAGGGGAAAAGGGGAGGCAAAGAGGAGGGGTGAGAGGGGGGCCGCGGAGGGGAGGCGGGCGCTAGGGAGGGGCGAGAGGAACGCCAGCGAGCGGGAGAGGGAGCCGGGGAGGAAGAGGGAGAGGGCGAGGCGCGCCTGGCGGCCGGGTTG